AATACTGGTAAATGTTTTTGTAATATTTATAGATTTTTTGAATCTTTTTGTTACATTATAACTTTTTTTTTATTTTAAAATGTATTTTTATTATTTTCAATTGTTTTTTGATAAATTTATAATTTATTTCAATACTTAATACTTTTACAACCTGTTATTTGGCATTTTTTTATAGATAATTATGGTTAAGATGGATAGTTTAATCTGAAATGATAAATGGAATTCTTAATTGATGTACAATGAAATTATGGAAGTAATAACAAATTTTTTATAACTTCCAATACACAAAATGATTTTTTTTTTTTTTTGCAGCAACAGCATTAGCAGATAGCAAAAAAGTCCAGATCTCAAAGCCCTGGACAGCTTGTCTTGCTGAAAATAAGAGAATCTGGAAGGAGCAAGCTATCAAAGGTAAAAACTTTCTGTTGTTTCATGATAATTTTTTTATCCATGTACCTTATATTTTATCGAAGAAAATATCGTTCTAAAAATACAAAGATCATGACGCTATTGTTATAAATTCTTATTAATTATTTTATTGCTTTCCTGTCTTTACCATAGATGCTGAGGTAAGAGCCCAGCAAGCGCAAAACGAAGAGGAAAGTGGCAAAGAGGGAGGGGAAGATGGTAACATCAGCATAAGCACACTACAGGAGCAGCAGCACCAGCCAGTCGTCGAGTGATCACCGCTAGACAAGAAATATCTCTTCTAAGCGAGAATGAATAAGTTAGAGGTACATGGCGCAGCTGTAAATTCATTCAATAATCGTTTTGAGTCGATTCTACGGGATGTAAAATACATATGTACTATATATATTTAAAAAAGCAAAGAAAACGATTGTGACGCATCACAATAAAACGGTTAACCTATACGTGCAAGCACGATGTCACGTGCGAGTGTCGTAATTAAGCGGTAATTTTATTATTTCTTCAGCAAAAACTCAACAACAAGAAATAAAGAAACCATTGCAATAATGTTAAACGCAAGCTTGTTGAGAACGACAGTCTACCTACACATATAATATAAAATAATTGAAATATAAACATTGTCGTACCTTCGAATATATAATATAATTCGATTTAGATTATAGTTGAAATAATGTAGAAGTCGATAATGCTCGTACATCATATTATGGTTATTATTATTAATATATAGTCGTGAACGCGCGTATAAAATGTTACACTTCGCTCAATTTATATGTTTGGCCGTCTCGCGATCCACGTATGCGTAGGTATATTTATATTTTTTTTTAATTTTATACATAATGCGTTACAATGCTACACTTAATCGTCCTTGGATTGTTTTTTTTTTTTTTTTTTTCATCATCGTTTCATCTGTACTTCAAAAGAGATGAATAAGCCCTTGTTCTGTCATTGTTTTAGGCTAAACGTTGAAATAACCTGTATGATTTGTAGCTTAATTAAGAGCGCAGAAAATTAACAGCTCACGAGAGATAGTGAAAGGGAGCGAAAGAATAAAAAAAAAAGTAAAATTTTTTCGGTGATTGTGCAAAGCAGAGAGTGATAGAATAAGTTTTAAAAGAAAGAAAAAAGCAAAGAGAATGTGACTAACTTCAGTGTTATCGCTGGTGCTGCAGCGTACGATTTAATGCATAAAGAATACAATGATTTTTTCGCAAAAAGGACGTATTCTTTGAGCTCTTTTTTCTTGCTTCCATAGAAAAAAAAGCTAAATTCTAATTGACTGTAGGAGGATAGAAAGGAAGATCCTTTTGTATGACGAATAAAAAGAAACCGGGCCACTCGTGTGCCTTCGTCGTTACACAGCAGCAGTAGCAGCATATCTCAGAAAAATGATCGGGTTGCGGACAAAGCGAATAAAGGAGGGAAAAGAGAGGAGGTAGGGGAGATGGATCGAACAAAAGGAGAAACTCCTTTTTTTCTTTTATTTCATCGTCGTCAGTTTTTTTTAAAAAAGTGTGTAGGGATGAATTTAAAAATTATTTATTTCTTTCTGAAGCTACTGTATGATGTATTGTACATACGTATTCATTCAAATTATCTTATTCCGGTGTATTATGTAAAAATAACAAGGAGAATGAATCCTGCTTTCGAAGCGTGAAAACGGTTGACGTGGGATTTACAAAGCAAAAATTAATGCGTCAAGTAATACAGAGGCTATTTATCGTTACGTCATTTATTTATTGATCGCCTTTCACCTGTAAATAATGGTCCAGAATGTAAAAAAAAAATTCTGAAGAGTGCGGTAAAAAAATACTTGACCGTAGAGTTTTCATCGTTAATCTTACAACTAGTAGACTAGTAATTTTTATTTGTATTGCATTTTTTAAAAGAATTTATTCATACAGTTAGTGTACACTTTCAATAGTTACATTAATACATACTTATATTTAAGTGAGTGTTTTTTTAAGCAGGATAGTGGTTGTCATTTGTCCGTCATACCTACAATAGAAATTTAAACGAAAATTTTTTAATTTTATTTCATTACTTACTTACCATAAAAATTATCTAATTATAAAACAGTCATGGATGATGAATTTTTTTAAATTATGAATAATAGAAGTAATAGGTAGTAGAAGTTTTACAACAAATTGGAAACGTAATTACCAGTGAAAACAATTTTAATAAAAATGACTTCATAATTGTATAGTTTCGTGTGAAGTATAGTCAAGTAAAAGATAAGTAGTTCCTGCAATTAGAAAATATTTAAACCATTAAAATAAATAGTAGTTTTCGTCGGATAAGTGCCATCATCTCCAGGGCTATTTTGCGGCCCAAGGGACCTGCGAAGCAGGGCCCGAGGGATGTAAGGTAGCCACGGAACGATGGCGATTATGTGGCGAATGCTATTTTTTCTACCGAGGGCACACCAGCCTCTCAAAAACGCCCGAGGTAGGAAAAATAATGTAGAAATCTTGTTTCATCCTGAATTAAATCCTAATTTAANCAACTTTTAGTCTCGAAAAAAATTTTTAAATAATCTTTAAGAGTTTATGCAAGACTTAAGAAAAAAATCCATAGGATTTTGTCATTACTCAATATTTTATGGTGCATTTAATTTGGATTTCTTAACATACGCCACGGAAATAGGTACACTTACCCCTATTAGCTATTACGACAACTCTCAAAAGGCAATTGCATGAATCTGTTGTTTTTCAAAGAATATTTTTATCAGTATCCATTAAACTTCATCAAGAAAATAATAATACCTTTCACTTTGCTCTGTTTCAATATTTCTAAAAATTTAATAGTCGATCCCTAGGGAAAATTTCTTACCCAGCGTCGTAAACGGTAATGAAATTCCTCAAAAACGATGTTGAACCTATACGTTGTACGCGGCTGGCTCAACGCTCGCACTTCCTGAGCTTTTACGGCTGGCAATAAAACTTGGCAACATTTACGATTCAGCGTTTGTACTTCACCGTCTCTGTGTTCATCTTTTTTTTTTTTTTTTTTTTTTTTTTTTTTTTTTTTTTTTTTTTTTTTTTTTTACACAATGGTATATGCATAAACGACGAAATAAAAGTGAAAAATTCCAAATTTTTTTTACCTCTTTGCAGAACTGGCTGACCGATCTGGAAATCTTCGCCACACTAGTAGCTGCCCTAATCCACGACTACGAGCACACGGGCACGACGAATAATTTCCATGTGATGTCAGGCAGCGAGACAGCCTTGCTGTACAATGACCGAGCCGTACTTGAGAATCATCACATCTCAGCCAGCTTCCGGTACGTTTGTTACAGTTAGTTTCCTCGTAATTCTGTTTCATAGAGGTTTTTGTGAATGCTGCCTCGTTTTGCTCTAGCGTGAGAGTTTACGTGCTTGGATTTATTTTTGACTGGAAATTTATTAGAGAACTTTTGAGTAAATACGTGGGTTCTAGTAGATGTGCTAAAATCATCATAACTATAGAGGAAATAATACTTTATAGTATTCAAGTAATTTTAGAAGCCGCTGGGTCTCGTCTTTGTCTTTGCTCTGTGTACTGCTCGTCTATGAAAACTTAATGAGAATCTCAATTAGTTATTTAAATATTTGTTAATGAATTATTTATTATAAATTTTAAAAAAATTCATCTGTATGTACGTATATCCACACTGACCGTACAGATACACACACGTGTACCTGATAAATTATATCGCCCTCCCTTATTCCTCCCACGTAGTGTATTGAACGTCCCGTTGTGCAAAAATGTCAATTGGCTGTTTGTTACTTTTCTCTGTGGTATTTTACTTTATAGAGAAGCCGAGCGAATGGAGAAGGCAGCCAGTGGTCAGCCGGGCAGGCGTCGTAGGTTTGTTCATTACTGGAATTGAAAGCCTCTCTCTCTCTCTCTATCTCTTTACTCTTTTTCGTCGTCATAATCTATCTTTTTCTGCCTACGAAAAAATGCACTGCCCATCATTACTATTATTATTATTATTACCTCTAAGGTATACTCACAAACTTCTCTTTATTCCTCTTAGTGTAGTGCGTTGTCTTTTATTTCATGTTTTTTATTTACCTCGGGGGTTTTATTTCGTTTTATTTTGTTTTAGGTTAGCGTTTGTTTTTGTTTCTTTTTCACGGCACACTTCCGTTGAGTTTTATTACTATTTTCTCTCTTCTCGCATTTCTGTACCATTGCACACTGTTAGCTCATGGTGTAGGACGATTTTTATTTTCATTTTAATAAGGATATCAGAAAAAGTGTAAGGCATTAATTTTCAATATTTTTGTGTTTTTGGTTATTCATAGATGATAATTTTGAAATTTGTATCAAATTTAGTGTTTGCTTCTGGTTCAGGTTATCGGAAAGAATAATAAGAGTTGCGTAAGTAAATATAACCTGTCATCCAGTTGAAAAAAAAAAAAATAATAATAATGGCTTTGTGTTTTCGGTGTTAATTTATGTGTGTGAAAACAATCTTGATGTTCACAATAAATGAGCCACGCAAAATAAGTATTGTTATTTTTTCAAAATCATTGACGTAAATTAAATATGTTGGTTTATGCATTTTGCATGATTATTTATGGTTAAGTGTAAAATTTTGAGTGTCCGTCCCAATTACGTACACAAAATATAGGTGTTTTTTATTATCCAAGATTACAAATAAATTAATCAATGAAGTACATATTATTATGAAAGATTGAAAATTTAATATTGACTGTTGTGTTTCCAATAAATGTATTTCATCGAAAAATCGAAATTCGACAAACTTGAACAGTGCACTCTGTAAATATTATTTCGTATCATCCTAAAATAAATTTTCTGTTCTGTTTTATCCATTAGCGCTAAGGTATAACATTCATTTCAGCATGCAATTGATATACCACCCCTTTTCCCTTCTGTATCGGAGAACAATCGTAAAAAATACACAATATCTGTCTCAATTTACAAACATTCATTATTTATTTAACAACTCTTACTCCACGACATGTAAAAAATTATCTCACAAACAATCGTGTCCTTTGACACGTACTATTTTAACATATCCCTAGTATAGAACATTTAATTTTTTTTAACGCCGTTGAGCAACAAAACTTTCAACGTAGCGTTTTTAACTTATACGCCTGTCGTACACCAATTTTTATTTTTTATTATAATGTATGAGTATGAAACTACCAACTCGCGTGTAATCGCCGAGTGTAATCTATTTGTTTTCATACATAGTCATGAATAATGTATGCAGTGCATAATATTACGTCAGAATGACATGTGCTATATTTGTTGCTTCGTTGAACGTACATATACATCTGATATTACAAAGTTGTATGATGAAAATGTGTATAAAACATGAGAAAAATAGATAATTCCGTTGTACTTTACCCATGGCTCTGACATCGGAATGCTTTTCAAGTTTAATTTCTTATTTTTTAAAGATGAATATGCACGTGCAATCAGTAAAAATAACATTCGCCACTCTCTTTACTTGTAAAATATTTCGCGAGTCAATGCTGCGGCTTGACTC